ACTACTACTTCACTTGCTCTAAGCCCCCACTTGTCAACTTTGTGCCCACTAATCGATCGACCTCGCCGAGCGAGCCTGACGCTAATTCCGGAGAGCTGCTGCTGCTGCTGTCCCACAATTCTATTTTTACTTCTTACGGTCAGAGACTGGACGGAACAACTTTCTTTAGTTGATGCGATGCTGCTGCTGATAAGTATGTGTACCCGTACTGTGTGAGCGTTGTTGTTGTCGTCGTCGACGGTTTCGTTGAACTTTTGCCAACAGCACAGTGTCGTGGTGGTGGTGGTGATGTCGGTGATGGTTGGCACCAGTGAAGACAACAACAAGAGGCAGAATTCGGTGCAAGAATTCGCTACAGCGAGAACGAGGAAGGAAGCTCTCAGATGTTCAAGTGCTGAAAGCAAATAATTCTCTTTCGTGTGCGCTTCGCAGCTTCGTGGACACTGGTGGAGTGGGTATCACAAAATGTTTCAACAATGCAAGGGCCTTCCTGTACTGGCCTGTTGTACTTGTAGGTTTTCCTTCTTTAGAACTTTCCACTGCGATTTGGTTAGAATTTGTACTGCGCGTGCACGTGTGTATATCTAAATTCTTCCTGGTGAACTCGAATGTTTGCTGCCCTCCGAATAGCAATAGTGAAATAGTAAAAAATGAGACCGTAGAGTTAAGACTGTGTATGTGTATAGGAGTGAGTAGCCTGGCAATTGAGGTGAGATTATTCCGTTCCGCTGCGGTAGTAGTGGGGAGGACAAACACGGGGGGTTCTTCGTCTGCCTGCCTCGCACTGCTTCGCAACGCTTCAACTGACCAGATAGAAAGACTTTTCAAAGAGGAGATAAGTAAATGTGAATGGGTATAAGTATAGGTATAGGTATAAAAAAGGTGCTTAGAGAGAGGTGGTAACTATTGCCGGATGATTGATATTATATAATTAGATCTATGCAAATGGGACCAGTGCTAGGAGTGACTGGCTGTCGATGATGACTAGAGTGGTTTGCTCCTCAATCCACCACTTTGCTCAATCCTCAACGTCGTCGTCTTCTTCTTTGATTGTTCTTCCGAAGATCGCACACACATAGACGGAACAGTGCAACACTTTGCAGTCAAGTGAAGAGTCTGTGTGTGAAGAGAGTGTGCAGAGTGCGGGCGGTGCACACACTGTGAACTCGGTGTTCTCTCCGCAACAGTATATTATTGAAGCTGAAGCTGATTGACTGAGCAGTTCCTCAACTGCACTGCTACATTGCATAATTTGGATCGCAGTCGAGACGGTGGTGGAGCAGCAGCGATGCGGTAGTGCAATCGGTACAGTGTGTGTTTGTGTGGTATTTACACTAGATAGGCCTGAGGTTAAAGTGCACTGTTCCTTCTGCTACTGCTTCTGTCTTTCGGGCTTTTGGAGTTGCTGCCGTTTGTTTGTTTGTTGCCGTGTCATTGCGGCGGAGGTACCGCCATCATCATCGTTGTCACTGCCAGTGTTCAGAGAGTGTACGGGCAAGGGAAAGAACGAGGGAGTGTTGTGACCTATGTGTCTGTCCTCTTTTCATTACCGGCCCACTTTAGGACCGCTCTGTGCAAGTACTAGGACCGGGCGAATTCGGCATCATTAGTCGAGTGTATTGCAGTGGTTGGTGTTGTTGCTGCTGCTGTGACTGTTGTTGTTGGCCGATTAGTTCCCTCCATAGGCCAATCGAGTTCAATTAGACGCAGGCACGAAAACAAGATCCAAGAGTGGAGAGCCTATCGTGCCTCCATCGACATGCACGGCAAGAAATGGTCGTGGCGTCGGTGGATGGCGATGGCTGAGTGGCTGCTGCTGCTGCTGCTGCTGCAGGCAGCAAGAAAAGAAAACAGGCTGCAAGTAGAACACAAACACACAGACAGGCAGGCAAGCAGGCAGAGGCACTACACTCCAGGCCAAATGGAACTCGATTGGATGGTGAAGTGCCGATTGGATGGGTGGATCCTCCACTTCACTGACTGGTGCAGATGGCGGTGGTTGTGCTGTGCGGGTGATGATGGTGCAGTGGGACCTGCACGAAAAGGTCAATCAGGTTGAGAGGCTTATCTCACGGTTACCGTGTTTTGGGTACGGTGATTGAAAAAGGGGAAGACAATTGTCTGAATCTTAAAGTACACACACACAGTTAGTGAGAGATGATCAGTGAGGAAGAGAGTGAGGAAGAGAGAGAAGCACTGAAGAGTGGCGGTGGTAGTGCGGCGACAACACACATACACAGACTCTGCCGAGACACAACACAACACACTACAGAGCACTCACTGTCACAACATGAAGAGGATTCTGCTGCTCCTGCCGCTGCTACTGCAGCTGTGGCTACTGGATGATGCTTATGATGGTGGTGATGGTGGCGATGCTGGTGGAGGCAGCAGTGTCCTGCTCACTGGGATTTGCACTGAGGCCTCAATCAACAGCGAGCTGGTGTTGATGAGCGAGCGGTGTGGGCGGTGTGGCCGAGGCACCCACCACCAGAGCGTTGTGGACCTCAGAGAGAATGATGGCGATGGCCTGAATGATGTGAGTGAGTGAGTGAGTGGACGAAGATGGCTGGTGATAGAGCTGGTGACGCCAGTGGCGAATCGATGGAATCGCAGGGAGAGAGGGAGAGAGAAAGTGAGTTAGTGAAAGGGAGATGAGTGGAGTGCGAGCAGAATGCGTCCAGCAGAATGGGGAACCGATGCAGGCGAGATAGAGCTCGTCAGACGGTGCTAGCTGCTACAGAGTCGGCTACAGAGAGGCAAAATGCTCGCTCGCCCACACGACAACTGCCGTACCTGGCGCCAGCTATATTGTGCCAGTGGTGGTGGAGCCTGCTCAGGGAGGAGTAGTGGCACCAGACCACTCGCTGCCGCCAAGCAGCCACTGCCGTCGTCGCCGATTGCCCTGGCACGACTCCCAGCAGTGCAGCAGGGAACTCAACTGACTGTCGCTGTAGTAGTGCTGCTGCTGGTGGTGGTGGCTGATCAGGCTGCTGCTGGTGATGGGCGTGATGAGAGAGAGAGAGAGAGAAAGTGCTGGAGACACAGGTCAACGAGTCTTGCTGCAGTCGACGAGAAGAGAGAGAGAGAAAGAGAGGATCACATCGATCACTCACCTGCAAGAGATGCACCGGGGCCGAAGCTGCTGGTGGTGGTGGTGCTGTCCACAGTGGCAGTTGCTGCTTCGATACTTTCTCTCTCCGGATTCGTTTGGTGTGGATGCGCTCTCGCTGCTGCTGTAGGCTTCTGCTTCTGCTGTCAACACAGTAGTAACGGTAGTGACTGTTGTGTTTGCAATTGTTTGCGGTAGTCAAAATGCGGGCTACGTTGCTGACGTTGGAGCTGTCAATCGGGGGGTGGGCAGAGAGAATCGACAGTGGAGACAGTGTCCGCAGCAGTTTGCTTGATGAGCCCAAAAGATGGGTTTGCTCGATGATGACATTGGCGTGTTTGTGTGCATTCTCGATCCGGGCGTGATTATCCCTCTTACGCTCGCTCTGATGCCGCCAGATGACGCCACTGGTGGGCACTGGTGCACTGCAACCAAAACAGTGCCTCAGTGGGATTCAGTGTTGGAGAGTTGGAGTGCAACAACAACAGTTCATACACTGCAGCAGAATCCGAGCTAGCGAGGGGGAGCAGAATCTCGATTCACTCGCCCACCTATATCCTCACGCACTGAGTGTGAGTCCATTGCGCCAGCGCTCACTGCAACCTCTCTCACTGTGCGCGGTTCATTCCACTCGGTCAGCTGCTGCTCTGGCCTATTTCCACATTTAATATATGCGCAATCTGGAACCAGTGCAAGCCCAGACCTGCCAATCTAGCGGTGCACTGCGTCCAGGTAGGTCCTGCTACTCTCTCTGGAACCTGCCCAAGAATACCAGCACTATTTTTACGGAAAACAACGATCCTGAAGACGACTGACGACGATGACCACTCTTGATGATAAGTTGTTGGGCGAAAAGACGCACTACTACTGCGATAGTAGTGACGATGAAGACGGTGGTAAGGGAAGCTCCACAGTGCAAGCACCGCCAAGTGATGACTTTCGTGGTACCTCCAAAATCCGCAGTGACTTCTCTCGAAAATGGGACAACTCTGTCAATGTAAGCGTGTTAATTATTTATGCGTGACTCCTCTCACTAACTGGCGCTCTACTGCACCACAGACCGGACCGAAAGGGGTGATCAAGGACTTTCAGCGATACAAACAGTTTGAAAATGAACAACGAGAAAGCCAAGATGCCGAGAAACTGGCACTGATGAAAAAGCTTTCACTTTCCTGTCGATCGTACATTGATGAGAAGGTCNACTAACTGGCGCTCTACTGCACCACAGACCGGACCAAAAGGGGTGATCAAGGACTTTCAGCGATACAAACAGTTTGAAAATGAACAACGAGAAAGCCAAGATGCCGAGAAACTGGCACTGATGAAAAAGCTTTCACTTTCCTGTCGATCGTACATTGATGAGAAGGTCGAACAGAAGCTGAACGCCGGGGAGGAGGACCTAGGGGATGATGCCGATGATAATGACCCCTTCATCAAGGAGTACATTGCTAAGCGCATGCGAGAGATGCTAGAACGGTATCAGCAGCGAGAGGTGAAGAAAGTCTTCGGTGATCTGGCTTTCCTCAACACCGGTGAGGCGCTGTTGTCGATTCTTGAGGATAAAGACTTGAAGAACATTCTGGTGGTGACACATGTGTACAATCGCAAGATTCCCGAGTGCAAGACGATGAACAGCTGTCTCGATAAGCTCGCAAAGAAGTACCAGCATGTCAAGTTTTGCTGTCTTGACGCAAGTGTTGCTGGAATGAGCTACGAGTTTGTAAGTCACATAGCCTGCTTCCATCAATCAAATTCAATATCTTTGTTTTTATAGATTAAAAACGGAGTACCAGCGTTACTCGTCTACAAGAACGGAGATTTGGTGGGCAACTTTGTCAGCTTGGGCGATGAATTTGGCGAAAAGTTTGACGAAGGCGATNCAAGAAGTACCAGCATGTCAAGTTTTGCTGTCTTGACGCAAGTGTTGCTGGAATGAGCTACGAGTTTGTAAGTCACAAAGCCTGTTTCCATCAATCAGATTCAAATTCTTTTTTCGTAGATTAAAAACGGGGTACCAGCGTTACTCGTCTACAAGAACGGAGATTTGGTGGGCAACTTTGTCAGCTTGGGCGATGAATTTGGCGAAAAGTTTGACGAAGGCGATGTCGAAGACTTTCTGGTCGAGTAAGTCGGAGAAAATTGTTTTGTAGAGACATCCCTTCAACTAACAACCTTTTTTGCAGAAACAACATTTTGGTGTCTAGTCAACTCATTTCCAGCATTTCCTACAACTCCAATCTCTCAAGTATTCCTAAAGAAACCTCAACTTGAACAATGCAACAATGAGAACAAATCGACCTGCCAAGAAACTTGTCTTTTCTGTCAAGTAGAGCCATTTTTGTGCGCATTAGCGAACTTATACCATTTTGCTTATTCAAGTTTTTCCTCACCACCTCCTGACCACTCTCACGTTTTCTTCATGTGCTTCAAAGTGTTTGAGTATTTGACGACGATGTTAACTGACGATAACTTTCACCACATTTGTCT